GGGGGTAAACATTTTCCGCGGATACAGTAGTAAGATTCTTGTAGTTAACACAGAGACGAAAGGAGCCATATTTCGTTTCTCTGAACAACACTAAGGCGGCCACACGTGGCCTAGCAGGTTCAATAAACCCCTTTTAAAAAAATTTGTCAATAAACTTCCGTAATTTCTCCATTTCGCGTGGGGTCATTGAGTAAATCTGGGGTTTTGGAAGTTTTACCCCTGGAAGGAGATCATTGCTGCAATCCGTTGTGCGGTGAGGGGTAATTTATCAGAGGATTTTTCACTGAAAACGTCCCTTAGGTTCCAATATTCTTTTGGGATTTTCTTCTCCCCCTCAATTTTTTCTTGCACCGCAGCCGCTAGGTTAGGTTCAGCATTGGTAATATTGGAAACTCTCCCTTCTCCCTCGGGGTTTAGCAGATTGGATGCGCAACCACCCCTTGTTCAAGTTGATGTGTGGGTTCCATTTACATAACCAGTATGAGAGGCTGGTCCATTCCCGGCGCCACAATGAAACTTAATGTTTCCTGGTGATCTCTCATCCACGAGTCTATTGGTTCAGTCACAAAATGGGCAGGAGCCACTCCCCCCCCCCAGCTATAGACTCATCTAGCTGACAAAAAGCAATGGGGACTTTCAAAGTTCTCCGTTTCAAGCCCAGTTTTTCCACCAGTTATGGGCTAACGATGCAACGTGTGCATCCCAAATCTAAAAGGGCCAGCATTTTTGCTTGGGCTCCAGTAGAGGGCACTTTAAGTTCTACTGGGATGGTCATGGGGTCTGATCAGGAACTTACCAGCGGTCGTCATCAGATTCAGTTTCACTTTCCCCCCATGAGGAGGATGGTTCTTCTCTTGGAATGGGAGGGAATTGCGCAGCAGGTTCCACCCCTTTCATGGCGGTGTCCCTTTGTCAGGCCTGCATTTATACCGCAAAAGAGTCATCTGGCCCAACAACCTCTAGAAGAGGATCCCCAACTTAAGGTGATGAAGAGCCCTACCAAGGGGGAGGCCTCGGAGGAGGGGAAAAGCAAACACGCTCTG